TAGACACACCATTAATGCTTGCTAAATTAAATGGGAGATCAAGGCCAAGCTTGAAACTAAATTTTAAAGAATATCCTCTTCAGGAAATAGCTGGCAGTCATGAAGTTTATAGTGTAACTTTAGTAGTCAGTTCAAAGAAAATGTTAGAAATTTAAAATAAACTCTCTCTCTAAGTAATGTAATTTGACAATATATTTTTAAGAACATTTACACTTATTTTAAAGATGGTGAGCAAAGTTTTGCTTCAATATCAATTCTGAATTAAAAATGTGGCCACTTGAAAGATTTATAAAACAAAGAAAATTAATAATTCACAAAATGGATATTTACTAATAGTTAATTATGACAAACTAGGACTAGGCTATGAAGTCCTTGAGGACAGCAAGTAGGCCTCATTCATCTTAGTAGCCTTCAATGCCAAGCACCTAGCAGGTACTCAATAAATACAGGTTGAATTAAACAGTTCAATATTTTAGACTGGCATCAATCAATTTCAAGGTCAGCAAATACAATGTTAGAAAAATATTAATAAAAATAACAAAATTATTTAACATGCTAAATGATTCAAAGAGTGAAATTTGCTCATGGATACTACCTAGCCTGGCTAAAATGGCATAAAAAATGTTGTGAGAAGGGAATATGAGTTGATTCCTTAGGATATTCGATCTTATTAGAGATGTGAAAACCATCGAGTAACAGAATTTTAGAGCTCCAAGGGACCTTACATAACAACTCATTAGAAGAAAAAGCCACACAATCATACAGAATTGAAAAATGACACAGGATTTCACACCAAGCTTCTGTGGTCTGAGATGGACTTGAAATTGTATTATGAGGGAAGGAAAGACTACACAGAGGCGGCAGAGGGCATTCAAGATGAGTTTAGCTTATGAACAAAAGTCTAGAGTTGGACAAGTACAAGATATTTTTGAAATTAAAAAATAATTTGATAAGAACAGTGTTTATATGTTAAGTGAGAAAAAAGACAAGGCCAGAGGGAGTATTTAATGCTCAACTACAGACAGATTCTAAGGACTACACAAATGGCTTTTAAGACTAATAAAGGAACAACTGATCAAGGATAAATTGCCTGATGCTTTTGTATTCTATTGTTTTGAGGGAGTTAAGAACAACAAAAGCATCTCAATGGACTGTTAAGTAATGGATAATCCAAGTTATTTATATATTTTACCTTAACATTTTTTTTTTAAAGATTTTTATTGGGGAATTGGGGGATGGGAACAGTTCTGGGGAATTGGGGGAAGGGGAACAGACAAGTTGCTGTCCTTTTGGTCTTCAGTCTAGTTGTGGAGGACGTTGCTTCACTGGCCCAAGTTGGCACCATCATTGCGCTCTTCCCGGGCGAGTCAGATCAGTCACTGGCTTCTGGATGGCCGTTCACTGCAGCTGCTGGCTACACACAGTAGCCCATGGCAACCCACTGCAGCAGGGGCTGTAGCCTACGCCATTCCCAGAGACTCATGGCAGCCCAGCTCCAAGTTGAGCTGTTGTTCAGCATCTTAGCTGTGGAGGGCAGTGTCACTGGCCCTCATATGTAGGATCCGAACCGGGGCCCTCTGGTGTCCCAAGTCAGCTCTTAACCAATGCGCCACTCGGCCGGCCCAACATTCTTTTTTTTTTTTTAAAGTACCAAGGAATATAAATAAATTTTAGAAGGGTGAGAGTGGAGTGATGAGATCCATTTACATGCTTTAATAGTTTGATTTTACTTTTTTAAAATAGGGAACATGTTTAATTTTTAACTTAATGTTTAAAATAAAAATATCTAACTTAAAATGTTTAAAAATATAAAAATGTATAGCAATTGGCCAACTGAAGAATGTTCTATTCCTTAAGGTATAATTTGAATAGAAATTGTTATTTAGAAATGTGAACGCTGAATTCCATTCTTATTGTTCTTATTACTTATAATGAGGAACTGGCATAGCTCTTATGTTATTCTTAGCATGAAACTTGGCACTTTGGCACTATACTGATGTCAACTCAATTTAGAGTGGGAATTCAGTTATTGACTAAATACTGAAAAGAAAAAGCAGTGTTTTGTTGAAAATTACCACACAGCATTCCAAATTTCACGTTACATTTTGGAATCTTTTTCTCCCCCTAACATATTTTATTAAAAAATAGTATTGTGGAAAATGACAAACATATACAAAAGTATAATAGTACAATGAAACCTCATGAACCCATAACCTAGCTTCAACTATGAACATTCTGCCAATGTTGTTTCAACTACCCCTCTTTTTTCTTCTGAAATATATTAAAGCAGTTCTCAGACATGAATAGTTTATACATGTTTCAGAATGTATCTCTAACAGATACAGACTTAATATAAAAATACATATTAAAGGAGCCTGTTCTTCCTGAATTTTTTCCCTTCTTAGTAAATGGCTCATGTCAACATCTCGGAGTCATCCTTGACTCATCTTCCTCTCAAACCCCAGAGTCAATCTAACGAGCAATACTGAGTGGATTCTGAACCTTCCCTGCTATCACTCTTATGAAGTCAAATTTTGCCTGTCCTATGGCCACAGCTCCCTAACTGGTCTGCATAGTACCCCTGCAATCTCAGGGTCTTTTTGCACTTGTTCCTTCTGCCTAAAATGCTTTTCCTCCAAAAAAACAAAAAAACCCAAAAAACTGTGAACTCTGACTTCCTTGAGGTCACCTTGAATTTGATCCTATTAGAAAGGCTTGCCCTAATCATCATGTCTATACAACATGGCAACAACTGCCACCTGTGCCATTAACCTATCCCTCTGGCCTTTTTCTCCATCACCACCTGATGTATTTATTAGTTCATCTTCTGATAGACTGTAAGCTCTGGGAGGACAGATGTTTTGTTGATTTTATTCACTGCGGTATCACCAATATCCAAAATACTAGGGACAAGCAGACATGAAGTAGACACTTAAGTTTTTAAGACTGAAAATTATTTGACAGCTCACAGATTAGGACAGGATTTAAAAACGTTTTCCTAAAGAATTTGGAACAATGAGTAATTATAATTCATTTGGGAAGCAGTACATCTTGTGAGAGCTTGTGAGAGGTTTTAAAAATCGAGTCTATTGAGAATCTAAATAAAATTCTAGTATGTGTCCTGTTTAAGCAGTGTGGATTATATACCTGAAAATGTGTCTAACTGTATTTAAAAGAGGCATTATATAGTGTGGAATCTGCATTCAGCATCTAGAATCATAGGGAATCAGCACTATAGCAATACCAAAGGCTCTGACTCTTTTGCTGTCAACATTAAGTCTCACAAATCAAAATTAATTTCAGACCCTCATACACTCATTCTTCTTGTACCTGTCTCGGAACTATTAGAAGTAGGCTAATTTAAATCTAGAAATTATTTTAACAATAAGGTTCAACGTCTTTACAATATATCTTATATTTTAATAGAAGAGGGTTAAGGCTGCTAGCCTCACCATGCAGATTTTAAAACTTGGAAACGAAGACCTAGAAGGAATTTCCCTTTTCTTAATTGTTACTTGCTTAAGTGTTACTGAAATGCTTAGACTGCAGATGATCTTTAAGGTCTCTCTAAGGCTGTAACACTCTATTATTTTATATATTCTAAACCTGCAGTGTTTATCTGGAAAGGGAGAAGCGGCTTGCAATAAATAGTAGGTCAGAAAGCACTTGGCTATTTACTAGCCATGCAAGTTAAGCAAGTTACTTAACCTCTCTGAGGCTGCTTCCTTCTATATAAAAGGGGGTTAATAACATCTATCTGGCAAACTTACGAGTGGACTAGAGATAATTCATTAAATGTCTAGCGAAACGTATGACAGTTTTTTCAAAACACAGGCCGCTAGTCTCTTGTTCTAGTTCTGTCCTTCTTTTGCCAAGAATAGTGCAATGTGAGATGGACTACGCCAACAAAATTGGGGTAAAGGAGAAAATGGAAAGTAGTGAAGCAATACAACTGTTTTACATTTCAGTATCAACTTGACATGCGGATTAGAAAACTAGTTGTGTTTTCTCTTTCCAAAAGAGAACGCTGTTGCTACTGCGACTATGTCGTCAACTGAAAACACGAGATTGTTTATAACCCATGTGGTGGTGAAATTTACGTCTGTTCATAGATTTAACTGAGTTGACATAACGTGGGTGATGGAGAAAACTGTCGAAGTTCCCCATTACTGACATTTCCTTGATTGTGGAGTACCGCGCGAGATGGTTCACTTGGCCCCTTAAAGTATGTTGGGAACATGACGCTGTGACTACAGGCTCAACGTAAACCTCCCTTCTCGCTCTCCTTCCCCTGCCGCCGGTGCTTCCCATTTTGAGACCGAGTGGGAAGCCCCAAACTCCTTGTTTCCCCTTGGCCTTGGCAAAGTCTGGACGCCAACAGGCGGTCTCCATTTCTCCCGCTGACTGCCAAGCCCGGGGGCCGTCCTTTCATGGGGAGACAGGGCTGGAAGGAACTGTGTTGGCAGCTCTTTGGGTTGAAGGGCAGGAAAAGGGGGGGGAAAAAAAAAAACCAAACAAAAAAACAAACTTCCTTCTTCGACTCGGCCGCGAGGGCGAAAGAGAGGAAAGGCGAGTGGGGGTGGTGCTGTAAGAACAGTCTGTCTCGCCGCTGCCCCGCGGGACTCGCAAGGCCTCCGCCCGCCCCAGGAGGGAGGTCACACGAGCACCCGCGTCGTGGGGTCAGAAAGGCGGGCGGTGCTGTGCCCGGGCTCCAGGCCGAACTCAAGGTGTCCTCCAGGGGCGGGAGGAAACTCCAGGCCCTGTCCCCACCCCGCCTCACTTTCCGGGGAGCGGCGGTTGGGCGGGGGGGGGGGGGGGACAAAAAACGGCCGCCCAGGCCTGGAGGGGCACCAGGCCGCGCCCATCACCCGGGCCTCCGGCCGCAGCTCGCCTGCCGAGCGGTCAGCGAGACGGTGCGGAGGGCGCCGCCGCCTCGGGCTGGGCGCTCCCACGTCCCCGCCTCGTCCCCGCGGGTCCCCGCCACCCCCCAGCCCCAGTACCTGTACAGCACGGCTGAGGAAGGTGCCCGCGTCAGCCGCCAACTTCTTCACATTGAAGTCCATGATGTTCATCCTGGGCGGCAGCCGGGCGGAGCTGCCGGCTGACCTAGCCGGGAGGCGGAGGCGCCGTGGCCGGGCTGGGGCGCCGGGCGGGAGCGGCGGGGGCAGACGTGGTAGGTGGAGGGAGGCGGCGCCAGCCCCGCCGCCGCAGCTGTCGTTTCCGTCGAGGGGGAGCGAGTGGGCGGGGCGAGGGGGGGAAAGAACGAACGTCTCCGCGCCGGACGGGCGGCGGCGGCCGAGACGTAGGGCCTGTCCTGCCCCGAGGGTGGCCGCTAACGTCGCGGTCGCCGCGGTGGGCGAGCAGGAGACGAACGGACTGGCGTTCTGACCCTGTGGGGCCGGAGCCGCAACGGAGGAAGCGGGCGCCGTCCGCGGGGCGGGGCTTTTACCGAGCTCATCGGGGGAACAGCGACCCCTTCAGGGTCGCCGCGGAACAGCCGCGGGGCGCGCCGGGAGCTTGGCTCGGTGCTCCCCAGGGAGCGTCGTGTTGGCTGCGAGCGGCGCGCCGCGGCACCGCAGCAGTGCTGCGCGTTTGTAGTTAAGTCCCTGAGAACCAAGAGCAGAAACAGCTCAAATCCCCCTTTTTGTTTTAAGAGGAAATATGGAAATTGTAGCAAAGAATTACAAAATCTGTGAAATGAGAACCCACAGTTTCGTCATCTTGTTGCACCGGTGCCCAGTTGCTCTCTGACGCCTGGATGGCATTCGGATGCGCATGTTTGCAGAAGAATAGGGTTGAATTTAATGATCCCACCGAGCCTGTTGTTTGTTCGTTCTTTCAGCATTATTGATATCCATTGTGTACAGGACTGAATCTAGTGCTGGAGAGACCATGCTGAAAAAGACTGCCCCTGCCCTCAAGAAGCTCTCAGTTCCTCTACTTAACAATCTTCAGGGATTTCTCCACCCCCAATGGAAGCGCTGTAACTATTTGCTGCCACAGGACTTTGTGACTGCTTTAAGGCAGCGTGCACGCGCTGCAGTACAGGATCAACACTAGGTGCCTACTTTGTCCAGAGTATGGTGCCGCGGACACAAAGTGCCAAGTGGAAGACACAAAGAACTATAAAATGGCGAGTGAGATAGAATAACCCTTAAAGATTCAGGGTAGTGAATTTAATAACGAATGAGATTATGATGTGAAATCTGTTCAAAACCCCCTAATTCCGAATAACTTCCTAAACAGTCTTCATGATACAGCCTAGGCTTAAACTAAATGAGATCAGATGCAAGCATGGAGAAAGACGTTAGTATTTCAAGAATAAGAAAACACTGTAGTTTTTGTGTCGCTGTGCCCTTTTGTTACAATTAGGGCTGGGAAAATGCAGGCCCAGCAGCCAATGAAATGAGCTTAGGTTCATGCTTGTTTTACTGAAACAGCAGCCTTAGAAGCAGTGGCTGTTGTTAAAAGCTGAAAGATTAGTTCCTAAAGGTATTGTAAGGAACAGCAGATAACATAATATTTGTGTCATTTTATTCTTTGTGGTGGTGACAAAAACAACCACTTCTTTTTAAGATAACGCCAATAGAATGAATCTAAAGGTAAAAAACATTCCATGTGCACTGCACTGTACACCTGAAGCTGATGTTGTATAATATTGTATGTCAACTATAAGTGAATATATATATAGTTACGGGATGTGGAGTATAGTGTGGGAGTGGAGTCAAGAGAATTGTTATAGATATGTATGATATGGGGGGAAGTGGGGCGGCGGATTGGGGGAGGAGGGTTGTCATTTTGAGGAATAAAAAGTATAACTATTGCACTGTGTTGTACAGCTGAAACTAATTAAAAAATGTTTATTACACAATAAAAAACAAATTAAAAAATATTTCATGTGTCTTTCATCTAAACCTGTTTTTCCAGAAATATGGGAAAGGAAATATATAACTAGGAATCTTGTTTTTCTTTTATTGTCCATTTTAGATTTTTATGTGGAAAAGCACTCATTCTCTCTTTGCAGATATCTATCTTCACAATAAGTACACTTGCCATAATCTATGTCAATTTCTACCAAAGAATCACAGCACCACATCCACCATTATCGGAAGAAACTCTGGATCCTCTTCTTCAAAAGTGTAGATCTTCTTGACTTGAAAGAAACCTTCACATCTTCCTGTTGAGCCCACTGTAGCTGTAATACTGTTTCTCTTGTTTCACTGACAGATTCATACGACTATAGTGTATTGCCTCAATTTTCTTACCACCTGTTCCCTGCTTAATTCCATGTAGTTGACTTCCACTTCTATAACTATACCTACGCAGCATTTTTGAGGTTGCCAATTATATTCTTTAAAAAAATTTTTTTAAAGATTTTTATTAGGGGCCGGCCGAGTGGCGCAATGGTTAAGAACTGGCTTGGGACGCCAGAGGGCCCCGGTTCGGATCCCACATATGAGGGCCAGTGACACTGCCCTCTTCAGCTAAGATGCTGAACAACAGCTCAACCTGGAGCTGGGCTGCTGTGAGTCGCCGGTGACGGCGTAGGCTGCAGCCCCTGTGGCAGTGGGTTGCCATGGGCTACCGTGTGTAGTCAGCAGCCAGCGCGAGCGGCCAGCAGCCGCAGTGAGCAGCCGTCCAGAAGCCGGCGACTGATGTGCCTCACCCGGGAAGCGCGCAATGATGGTGCCAACTTGGGCCAGTGAAGCAACGTCCTCCACAACTAGACTGAAGAACAAAACGACAGCAATTTGTCTGTTCCCCTTCCCCCAATTCCCCAGCACTGTTCCCTTCCCCCCAATACCCCAATAAAAAAAATCTTAAAAAAAAAAAGATTTTTATTAAAATATGGCTAACATATAATATTATTAGTTTCAGGTGTATACCATAGTTATTCAACATTTATATACCTAAAGAAATGATCACCATAAATCCAGCAACCATCTGATACCATACCACATTATCACAATCTTATTGATTATATTCCCCAGGCTATACGTTATATCCCCATGACTTATTTGTTTTATACCTGGAAATTTGGACCTCTTATTACCCTTAACCTTTTCCCCCTTTAAAAAATTTTCAATTACAGTTGACATTTAATATTTAATATCAATTTCAGGTGTACAGTAGTTAGAAATTTGTATAATTTAAGAAATGATCTTCCTGACTAGTGCTCACCTGGCATTACACACAGGTATTACCATATTATTGACTGTACTCCCTGTGCTTTACATCTCCTTGACTGTTTTTAACTATCAGTTTGTGTTTCTTAATCCTGTCACCTTTTTCACCCTGCCCCCAACTCCCTCCCATCTATTACCCCAACAAATCTATTGGGTTGTTGGAAAAGTTATGACGTATTTTTTTCTGTTTTTCATTGCAAAACTGCGTCATGACTTTTCTTACAACCCAATAGTACCCATCTGACACCATACATAGTTATTACAATATTATTGACTACATTCCTTATGCTATACACTACATCCCCATAACTACTTTGTAAAAACCAATTTGTACTTCTTAATCCTTTCCCCTTTTTTCACTTACCCCCAACCCCCCTCCTATCTGGTAACCATCAATATGTTCTCTGTATCTATGAGTTTGTTTCTGTTTTGGTTTGTTTATTTTATTCTTTAGATTCCATATGTAAATGAAATCGCATTGCATCTGTCTTTCTCTGTCTGGCATACTCCACTCAGCACAATACTCCCCATCTCTATCCATGCCGCCGCAGATGGCAAGAACCCATTCCCTTTTTTGGCAGAGCAATATATATATATATATATATATCTCCCCTCCTCTGTATCCTTTCTTCCGTCAACAGACACCCAGGCTGTCTCCACATCTTGGCCATTGTAAACAACGCTGCAATGAACACATGGATGCACACATTACCTCGAAGGAGCATTTTGGGTTTCTTCAGGTAAATACCCTGAAGTGAGATTACCGGGTCCTTGTTTGTATCTTATTATAGACTTTGTTTTAAAGCCTATTTTGTCTGTTATGAGTATTGTTACCCTAGCTTTTTTGTTTGTTTTCATTTCCTTTTTTTTTTTCAGTTAACTTTTTTATTTAAAGGTTTTATTGGGGAATTGGGAGAGGGGAACAGCATTGGAGAATCGGGGGAAGGGGAACAGACAAGTTGCTATCCATTTGTTCTTCAGTCTAGTTGTGGAGGACGTCGCTTCACTGGCCCATGTTGGTATTGTCATTGTGCTCTTCCTGGGTGAGGCAGATCGGTCGCTGGCCTCTGGACAGCTGCTCATGGTGGCTCTTGGCAGCTCACACCAGCTGCCAGCTGCTCATGATAGCTAGTGGCAGCCCACTTCAGCAGCGGCTGCAGCCTACGCTATGGCAGGCAACTCATGGCAGCCCAGCTCCAGGTTGAGCTGCTGCTCACCATCTTAGCTGTAGAGGGTAGTGTCACTGGCCCTAATGTGGGATCCGAACTGGGGCCCTGATGCTCAGAGCTGGCATCCCAAGCCAGCTCTTAACTAATGCGCCACTTGGCCAGCCCCCACTTGTCTTTTTTTATTTTTTTATTTATGAAATATCTTTTCCCATCCCTTTACTTTCTGTGTGTGTCTTCCAATCTGAAGTGAGTCTCCTGTAGGCAGCATATGTTGTTTTCTTATCCATTCAGCCCTTCTGTGTCTTTTGATTGGAGCATTTAATCCATTTACATTGAAAGTAATTGTTAATACATATGTAGCAATTACCATTTAATTACTCATAATTTTGACACCCCCTCCCCCTGTGTCTCCTGCCCCATCTTAAAGACGTCCTTCTAAAATTCCTTGTAATACTGGTTGGGTGGTGATGAACTCCTTCAGCTTTTTCTTGTCTGGGAAGCTCTTTATCTGTCCTTTGATTCTAAATGATAGCCTTGCTGGGTAGAGTCATCTTGGTTGTAGGTCCTTGCTTTTCATCACATTGAATATTTTGTGCCAACCCCTTCTGGCCTGCAAAGTTTCTGTTGCGAAATCAGCTAACAATCTCATGGGAGCTGCCTTATAAATTACTAGTTGCCTTTCTCTTGCTGCTTTTGCGATTCTCTTTGTCTTTAACCTTTGCCATTTGAATTATGTGTCTTGGTGTGGGCCTGTTTGGGTTCATCTTTTTTGGGACTCTCTGCGCTTCCTAAACTTGTGTGTCTATTTCCTTCACCAGGTTAGGAAAGATTTCAGTCATTATTTTTTCAAATAGGTTCTCAATCCATTTCTTTCTCTCTTCTCATTCTATGATGTGAATGTTGGTGTGCTTGATGTTGTCTCAAAGGCCCCTAAACTATCATAACTATCATTTTGTTTTTCTTTTTGCTGTTCTGATTGGGTGTTTTCTGCTGCTTTATCTTCCATATCACTG